GTCAAAGATACTAAAAATATTTATTATTATTATAAATATTATATGTAAAATTGTACTCATGTACATGTGTCTAAAAGACCCATAGTGAATCAGGGTTAAGAAAATTTGTAGTCATTATATATAAATTTATTGTTTATAAATAGTTAAATAATATTTTAAATTAATTTTATAATGCATAAATCATTTTGAATTCAATTTAATAAAAATATAAAAGACTTATTCTATAAGAGTATGATTATATTACTACATTATATTTTTGTATATATTAAGGACTCAGATTTATTAAAAACTATATAATTATCCTAGATCTGCAAACATGGCTAAAACTAAAAATGTTTTTATGAGGGGTGGGGTCCAACCTGAATTATCATAGGACTTGAACAGCGAAATTTGTTTTTAGGGAAATTAAAATTTAGCTTTTTTTGTTTTTAGATTTATTTTTTTCCAGGTTTGTGGTTAAAAAAAATAAATAAATATGTTTGTTTATAAATTAGCACCAAAAATTTTAGTCGTCAAATATATATTCTAACATTCCATAAAACCTTCAGTATAACTCATTGTCCTCATCATCATTTATGATGATTTTAGAGTAATCATTTTAGACTTAAGCTTTCCTATTTTTTTGTTAAATAAACAGATATTAACCCATATACAAGTAAATTTATATTTTGATATTCATTACGATCATATTTTTTAGGTCACGGCTAAGGATGCTAGGCCAAATATGCTCTCGCTATAAAAATAGCAAATAAGAGACAACATATGAAAATTTTTCATTTTTGATTTCTAACAATATTATTGATAATATCAATTTTCTAGTTTATTTAGTATTTTTCTTATAATTTATTTTGAAATATTTTATATAATTTCAATCTTAATATATATCATATTTATGACTTGATTTTTGAAAATATATACTGTGTGAAATTAAAATGAATATAAATTCGTTAAATAAATTAATATTTAAAGTGAGAAAATGAATAAGTGAAGACTTAATAATTAGTTAGCATACATCAGAAATCAGAACCTGAAAAAATAAGATAACCTATTATTATAGAATTATTTTTAATTCTCATTTTTTAAATATAATATGAATATTTAAAATGTTTTGAAAAAGTAGAAATTACCGAATTAATTTTTTAAAATACCTTGATTTTATCAAATGAAAAGATAAAAAAAATATATTGAGCGTTAAATTCTTGTAAAGTTTATATATTTGATCTTAGGTTATAAATATTAGAGAATATGTTAAAAATTATGATAAATTAAATTTACTCAAAATTTTAATATTTGATTATAATATATTATGCCACATAATATATTATAATATAATTTATGTCATAATAATATTAAATATAAATCATTAATTTGACCTGTGTTTAATCCGAAAGCAATTATATTCTTTGAGTCTACGTAATTAGTCATATATAGGAACATCTACGCCAAATTTTTTAAAATATCAATATTTTAACAACAATTTACTTACAAATTGATAATATTTTCTAAAATTTGATAATAATTTTAACTTAAGTTTTTAAAGGCATGATAACTATAATCTGCAGCTAAAATTTAACTCACTAAAAAAATACAATTAGAATTAGCAAAAATGGTTTCGGGTTAAACATAAATAAAATTAATGTATTATGATATTTTATTTTATTTTTTATTTTTTATAGATTTAGTTTATTTTAAAAAATATCGGTTCAAAATAATTAATTCACTTATATTACTATTTAGTTGAAGAAATGAAAAAAATAGCAAAGGGTAATAAATATCCTTCTTTTATATATTAGATAATAAGTATTATTTACCTTTAAAATGTAAATAATAGGCATAACCAAAAAGAGGGGAGGGGGATCCCCCCTTCTGAAATTTCCCTTTTATAGTAAATATAAGTTAAAGATGACTATAATTCAAACTTTTAGAGAATGAAAATTACTTTTGAAAAATATAAAACATAGTCAAAGCCTGAAATAAGTGAACCTAATGCCCTCTTATATTTAGAGGAAACCCACCAAAATTAATTTTTTTTTAACATACTCAAAAACCTGCAATAAGCGCACCTAAAAACCTCCAATATTAGCCATTAATCTATAAAAAAAAATACACAATTTATATAAAATTACTATAAATTCTTTTAGATAAAGGATTCAATGAAACTGGTAAATTTATTTTTAATGAATGTATTCTCTAAATTATGATAACTAAAAAAAATTTATTTGCATCAATTTAGAATTTGATAAGATGAAAGGTATAATTCAATAATTAAAAAAAAACTTATTTTATAAGAGATATCTAAAATTCGTTAGAAAAAAGATCCTGATGAGAAAGGGAAAATTGTATTTATTTAAAAAAATTTAAAGCCATTTTAAAAGAAAATAGAAAAAGTGTGCTAATCGCTTATAGGAAAATTGTAAGAGTTCGACATTATTGGGTAGAGATTTTATTTTACTTTAGAAGTTATATCATTGTTGAGGTTGTGAATAAAAATTCTAATGAAATTTATTAAGACATTAAAAGTCGCTTGTTCCAATCAATTTTTAAATTTAAATTAATTAGTTTGTTATAAATAATCAAGGTTAACCGGACGAGTTTAAACAAATCCAACATTCAAAAATCTTTTTAAAGATTTTTTAAAAAATAATAAATCCGCACAAAATAATATATGAAACGTATAACTAGTTAATCAATTGTTAAGAAATAAAAAAAGTTATAATTTAAGACGCACTCTAAAATAGATGTGTTGCAAACTAATCTTTTAAAATAAATTCGGGTTGGTCAGGTAAGTCCTGTGCTTTTCGGGAAAAATCAAGAAAAAATTTGGCTTAGATCAGGCCGGGCTGCAATTTATTTTTAAATAGTCGGTGCGGCGTGAATAATAAGTCCCAATGCAGATCACTACTCTACATATCTCCTCCCAAAGAATAAATCTACTTAGAGAACATTTATGATCATGCGATGATTTTAAAACATAGATTTTTGTTTTATAAATATATAAATTATTAAATCATATTTGGTTAAAAAAAACAACTAAATATTCCAAACGATAAAAATTTTGGAAAAAATATATCTTTGAAGAAAACATTAAAAAAAAAATTTTTTTTCATTTAAAAATGTTCTGGTCTCACAATAATAGTTATTTTAAAAACTTTTTTAGATTTTTTTAAATAAAATAGTTATAATATGTAGATGTTTTGATATAAGTTAATTTATAATATAATTCTGAGAGCAATGTTATCGTCATTTTTATTTATCTAGAATAACTAAAAATTGATATTAATATTAATATATTGCGAGAATGCAATTCATAATAATAAATTCATTATCATTTTTAGCCCTTTTCAATTATTTTTTTTTTTTAAATGAAAATTTAATAACGTGTTTTGGTATGATAAAACTATATATTGATTAAGAAAGGTGATATTTGTCATAATCTTAATCTAACCTTTTAAAAAATATTTGAGGATCTTTTAAATATGCGTTGGTATGATTTTAGTTATAATATATTACATCTATAATTTATTTTTACTAAAACAATTTAATAATAAATATTCATATTGGCAAGCAAAATATTTTTTTATCTGATCTATCTTATAATATTTTATTATAAAAAATAAATAATTAACAAATTATCTAAAGATTGTTAAAAATCGTGTAATTTAATTCCAATATTAAATTATTACTTTAAAAAATTGTCTGACTCATCTTTTTCCCATGACCTAGTATTATGAAGAGCAAAGTAGCCATAAGATCCTTTTATTACTTTGAATTTATCTTCTGAAAATTAAAAAAAAGTTTTACATCAATAGAGAACCCTTTAAGATTATGAAGAGATACAGTGGTTGTAAGGGTGATGGGATGAATATTTGCGTCTTTGATTTGTTGGTTTAATGATTTCTGTCTCTAGATTGGGATGTTGGAGAGTCGTGAAGGAAAATGAGAAGAGTTTTAGCCAATGATCAAGAGAGAAAAAGTTATTTAATAATGATTGAAGACAAATGGAGAGTTGGCTACTTCTACTCTGAAACCTATAGGAATTCTAGAGATCATGGGAGGTTCGTTAGATTTTAGGAAGTTAATGATGTCGATAATGAGTGGTAGTTGGGAGGGAAATAAATGTATCTAATGTGGTTGATATGTAGGCGTTGGATGTTGTGGAAGTATGGTTGCAAATAGAAAATGTAAAGGGGATTTTGGAATGAAGGAGAAGGACGCTTTCCGAACTCAGAACAAACGATGCCTTTGGTTTTGTGCTTGGTGAAAAGGCGAGGTTTGTTGATTTTATGTTTTTGGAACATGCGGGACAGTGTTCCATTATATGGCTAAACGTGAGGCTATGAAATGTGTGAAAAGATTTATGAAAGAAAGAAGAAATGTCAAATTATTTTGTATAATGAATGGGGATGTGATAGAGAGTAAGAAGAAATAATCTACAAATAATATTGAAATTGTAAAGACAAGATTTTTTTATATAAAAAGGAAAATGGGCTTAAATATTCTTGGGGTTAGTAGGTGTGTGATAAAAGTTGATTAATTGCTTTATGAAATGTAGTAATGGTTATGGAAAATAAAGATTAAAAGACTGATGGAATATATATTTAAATAAAGTAATTATAATTGGGTCAAATTTTAGGTATAGGAAAAAATATTTTATTATTGCAGAGATTCAAGGATATATAAGAAACATTAAGCGATTGAGTTTATCTTTATTTTTAGATTGAATAGAATTGTTATGTATGGAAAAAGAAAATTTATGATGTGTAATATATAAAAAAATGTATAATATAAATGAATATCTAATTTATTTAATATTAATGTGTTATAAGATCTTTATAATATTTAATACATTGAACGTTAAAAGTAAACATATATACGTAATTTAAAAAAATATATATATTAAAAATGTCATGTAAACTATTTATATAAAATCTATATAAAAAACTGTATAATAAAAAAAAAAAATAATTAGAATAGTAAATTGTATGTTGGGTGGGAGGAGGTCAAGAAAGAGAGCCATGAATGGCAATGCAGTTAGATCTGCATATATCAATAGATATGCGCTGTCTGAGATAGAAGCATTCCTGAGGGTCACCAGTGATGGCGCGGATTTTTTTACCGAGGGTTTTGAAGAAGGTCAGGGCATGATTACCAAAAGACCCGGTTGTGTCGGATACGATTGGTATGAGATTGCAATTTGTTAGGGAAGTGTATTTAATAATTTTCGAGTTTTCAGCTCCCATGAATGAGTTCTTATTAAAGGAGGGAGCAAATCGGTCGATGCATATATAGTCCCATGCTAATAGAATTCCATTACTCCATGGTATTAATGTCAGCCCATCTGGGCGTATATTATTCTCGGTTGAAAGGCCACAGAGTTCGAGAGTTGCTGGAATTTGAGCTGAGCGTAGAGCACGGAGAATGGTGCCGTTAACTGCACTGTGTCGAGAATGTCTACCTTTAGAGAATCGACAATGAAGAGGATGGTGTCCAAAACAATCAACGGGTTGGAAACATAATGTACATGTGGAGTTGGCCAGTATATTACAATCAAGACGGAGACCTATTGCTATGCGTAATTCTTCGTTTGTTAAGAGAAGTCCTAAGTTTGAGCTGGGAAAAGCTTCTAACCATTCATAGCCCGATAAGGAAGGCAAAAGTTGTGGAACTTGCAGTTGTGGGAGAGAGAGATGATCCACTGTTAAGGATTCATCAACTGTAATGGGAGATAATAAATGTGAAAGGATTGATGGGGATCCCTTAGAAGCAGCACTCGATATTAAATATTCAACGGAGTGGCGTATTAAGGGAAGATCCCAGTCATGTTGCTTTCGTGATGTGGGGATTGGAGCGGAGAAGGAATTCTCTTTCCAGATTGCTAGGGCGTGGAGAAAGTGGGGGTCTGTGCGATTATTGTTAAGTGATAGCATAATTAAGCGGGAGCTTGATTCTGAGGCTAAAAAAGCAGCAAGGCTGAGTGACACGGATGATCTTAAGCCAAGACCCCCAAATTTCGAGGGTAAGGAGGCCTGCATCCAAGAATTAGGGCTGAATTTTATATCAAAGATGCCTTCTAAAGAGTCTTTGATTGTTAATTCAATTTGGGTGAGAATTTCTGGGTATAAGAAAAGTGGGGCAGAGCGGAAGGCGTGTTGGATTTTTGGGATAAAGAAAAAGTTTTTGAGAAGGAAGAAAGCTTGATGGGAGGGAAGGACTTAAAGGATTTTATGTAAAAGGTGGAAATTACGGAGAAATTTTGTTATAAAATATTCGATTGCTTTATTGCCGCCTATTGGAGATCCAAGATATGTGAACCCGGATAAATTAATGGGTGTGAAGTTATGAGGAACGATAAAGGTTTCATCTGGTGAATAAAATTCACATTTGTTGTTATTGAGAGACAACCCTGTAATATTGGTTAGATTATTTATTATAGGCGCTATTTTTAGGAGTTCATCATATGAACCAGCAAGGGTTCCATCATCCAAATATCAAACATTGAGGGTCAAATTTGTCTCACGATTTATCGATTCAATGATCGGCTGGATACCTAAGCAAAAAAGGGCGGGTCCAAGGGGATCACCCTGTTGAATGCCTTGCCTTGATTCAATTATTGTATTGTTGAATTTAAGGTAGGATGAATTGTTATAAGAGGCAAAAAGATATGGAGAATATTCTGGAAAAGCGTCACAGAAAATAGGGAGAAAGTGTTCTCGTTTTAAAGAGTTAAAGGCGTTTTTAAAATCCACTTTTAGTATGCAGTTTTTAGTGGAGTGAAGTTGGATACGTGTGGCGTGGGAGGGTGCCTCACAACCGGAAGGTATGTTGAAGCCAAGCTGATGGGGAATTAATCGCTCGGTAAGCTTTAATGCGGGTATAAATAATTTTAGATATAATTCGGCGGAAAATAGAGCCAACAGCAATTGGGCGTATGCCGCCATTTTTTTTGTTTAAGGCTATTAAGCGTGCACCGTGAATAAGAGGTTGTACTGTAGAAGGTATGTTGCCGTTTAAAATATGATTAAGTAGAGTTGTTATGTTGTTTATAAGTTCAATGCTGGTGGTTGTTGATTTGGTAAGGTCCTGAAGGTATATAGCTCTAAAACCGTCAAGTCCTCCTGAGGAGTCTTTTCTGAAAGAGACTATTGCCTTAGTAACTTCTATGACAGTTAAAGGAGGAGTAGGAATGGATAGAGGCGGTGGTGGTAATTTATTAAAATCTTGTGGATGTATAGATTGTAATAAGAGTATTGTGTCCAAATTATCAGGGGATATGATGTCTTCGGACACTGCTAAATTTAAAGCTGCTTTAATATTATATGCGTTAATTTTACGGCTGATAAGTTTAGCCTTTAAATTTGGGGTGTTATGATTATAGTTAGGTCTTGAAGAGCAAAAGGCATTGCTGTTAGGGATTGGGTTGTTTAATTGATACTTAATTTGTTTTGTTAAGTTCATTTTTGTTGATGGAGCCTTCAAGTGGGTAAAACAAAAGTCAAAGAGTTTTAGCCAGTTGTCAGTATTGGTGATATTATTATTGAGTGATTGAATATTCATAAAACAAATAAAAATAAAACATAATATATATATATTAGTAGGTAACTTCTGATATATAAAAAAAAGATGGCAATGCTTGATTAAGGTTATTTAAATTGGTCATTGATATTGTAAATGATTGGTCAAATAGGTTTTATTGTTTGGTATTACGTTGTCTACGTCTATACCGAATATTACTCCCAGAGATAAATTACAATATTACAATATTAATAATATCAACAAAGGAAGCAAATTATAATTTAAAAAAAAGGAAAAGATGTATTAAATATACATTTCAATTTGCTTCCCTATATGGTAGCTATTACTCAAGAAATTTATTCGAAACAATAACAAGTTAAAAAAATATATTTTTTAAAAATTATAAATCACACAATCATGCTGAAAATCAATATTCTAAAAATAACTCAAAAATAGCAATACATAATGACTTTATAATGATCAAATTTTATAAATCTAAAAATATAATGTTAACACGATACACTAAAAATAGATAATATCATTGCATAATGATCATTCACGATAATTAACGGAATAGTCTGTGGTTACTCTCTACAATTTTTATTTTGTGAGATTATCTATTTGGTCTGTTGTTTTTTAGTTAAAAAATAAGATCATTATAAATTTGCAAATATTTGGCAATGTTGTTACTGGCAAAAAGATATGAGGGAATATTGAAAGATGCAAAATTGTTGATAACTAGGTAGTTTAATTTGAACATTTGATTATTAAATTGTTTAGTCTTGATAAAAACTATATCATAGATGTGGGAATATCAATAAGTGAAGTTTGTGTAATATATTTTCTAGATTGTGTGGATTAAAATGATTATTTCTGGTGGTAGACCTTTTTGAATTGATTACTATATTTGAATTTGTAGGTAGGTTTGATTCCATAAATGCTAAATGGCTTTGTTGTGATAATATTAATACTGGTATATTGGTATTGTTGTTTGAGTGTATGATTTATAGATAGATTTAGTAATATCAATGATGGATTATACTGGTTTCGAAAGTATATTTGAATTTTGTTGCCCACAAATGTGAATTGCACCACCAAGCATTAATTTTTATCTCCAGTTATATCCTTTAGGCCACTTTATTTATAGGATATTATCATTGTATTTACTTTTTTCGAATAAACAATATTTTCGTTTTTAATTTTTTACTTTCTCATATTGTTATATTAACATGGTTGCCAGGTCAAAATTTTCGAAATACGGGAGAAATTTTATATTTTTATTAGTAAAATAAGAAAATTGCTGTAGAAATATAAAAATTGTAAAAAAAAAATTTTGCGGGACTTCGGCAGGGATTGTGAATTGGCGTTGTTATTCCCTTATTAATTCTTATAATTACTTTATATAAATATTAACAAAGTTCGTAACGTTTATTAATTTCAAAATAGGTAATATTTTTAAAATTAAACACACATGAATATGATAAGATATGAAAAAAGGATGTAGATGTATTTATTATTGAATAAAAATAAAACATATGATTAAGGTAAAGATAGTAATAAATTTAAAAACTAGACAAGGTTTTTGAATAAATATTTAAATTATTTTAAAAATATAAAAATAATCGATTATTGTTTCTCAAAATTATTATTTATATATTTAGTTAAAATGCTAAAAAAAATTGTGCGGGAGAAATTTAAAAATTGCGGAAGATTTCTAATTGAGGTTATTACGGAAGTGAGATGTTTGAGGATGAGAGGAGATCTGGCAACTCTGTATTGTATTTATAAAATTGAGAAATAACATTTCTAAAGACCATACATCGAATGAAGTAAATGGAATTAAGCTTTTTTTTTGACAAAATATATTTATAGGAAATTTATAAAAAATATTAAGTTTCTTATAGTAGATATTGAAGAGAAATTTTATATATTCGTGAAACATACATACTGTTTAACTAATAAATCTATTTCTTCTATTTTTTTTACATTTTTTTATCCTCTAATATAACTATAATAACAATTTTATTTATCTAACCTATAATGCTTTAATATATTTTTACACATTTTTTGAAAATTCCATATTAGGCTATAATTTAAATTCATTAGCATCACAAGCCTGATTTTACCTTTAAACTTTGGCTTAAGTCGCAGAAAATAATTAAATTGTGAGAAGATGATTTTTGGGTTAACCTGGAAGTTTGTAATGAATGAAATTAATAGAATAGAAATCATTATATGTATTATTAAATACCTTTTAATAAATCATCTCTTCATTTATATCATCCATATGATTTAAATTGTTTATGTTTACAATAAAAATAAATAGAATAAGAATATATATATTTTTTTAATAAAATGATTTGAAAAGAATATATTTATTATAATTATTTATAGTCGTCGATTGGGAAGGTAACGTTTATTGTTATTATTATAACCTTAAATCATGTCATAAGTTAATATATTTTGGGTAAAATCTGAAGAATTAGATATTTGTAATGAAAATGATTAATATTTTTACGACAAAAAATTCAAAATCTATATATAATTAATTATAATATGGCATTTATTTTACTGGTAAATTAGTTTAAATAATGTATTTATTTGATTAGTAATATAATTAAATTAATGGAGGAAAGATATATTTATTGACAAATCAAATATCGAAAGCAAAAAATATTTTCTAAAAATTTCTACTGAATTTTAATAAACTGAAAAAAATTTTTTTAAAATACTAGTAAGCGTTATTAATCAATTATATTCTATTAAAATAAGAAACAAATTATAAAAAATTCTCCTATTATAAATAGTATGCATATATATAAATGAATTTTGCAGAATAAGATTTTCTCACTTTATCCAAGTTATTATTATAAAATATTTTATTGAAATATTAAAGCTATCGTGGTCCCAAGTTTGAATAATTTTGCACCTATAATAATTTATACGATTTAATTATGTCCTGGCTAAAAGAAATAATACGCTTAAATAATAATTTATTTTTTTATCTTTTTAATTTAAAGAATATTATAATAAGATGTTATTACAATATGTATTTTTTCATTAATTTATTTCATTTGCTTGAAAAAAGAATTATAATTTTCAAAAACAATAAATTCGTTTCATTATAAGTAGAGTTAGTCAATTAGAAACATAATAAATATTTCATAATCCTTTTTAATATTATTTAGGTAGAGAAGAAATAAGTAAAAATAAAATTATCATTAAAATATTTCATGAATTTTTATGAAAGAATTAAATTTTATTCAATGATTATTATAAAACTATGGGAAAAGATCTTCATAAATTGTAGTCCTAAAGTTTTAATTTTAACTTGTCAGGTTAGTTTAGCTCATTGACATCTTTATGTTAAATTTGAAGGAGCCTATTATTAAAAAAATTTTAATTAGCAAAAAATGTTAATTCTATTTTAAATATTGCAAAGAAAATAATTTTAATTAGCAAAAAATGTTAATTCTATTTTAAATATTGCAAAGAAAATAATTTTAATTATAGGCGATGTTGCATTTTTTATAAACCTTTATTCTGCACAATTGCTTTCTATGCCTTTAAATTTCGTATGTTTTTTAAGAATGTTGGTTGATAAATATATAATTAATTTTCTATGCTGTAAATGGTGGTATTTTAAATTCCTTAATATTTTCAGTTATATGTTTATGTAATTTTTTTTTCCAAATTAACATATTTTATTAAATTTCTTTTTTACATAAAACCTAGTTTAAAAAATATAATTTATAATTATATAATTAAAAATAAAATTCTATAATTAAATCCCCAAAAAGGAATCATAATTGTGTCTAAAAATTTCCATTTGAATTTTTAATCGAATTAAAATAAATCTCGGTTCATTTGTGAAAAGTCGTATTTTATTACCCAGATTTTTTTAAAATATAAATGTTGAAATGGAAAAAAAAATACCCGTTTGTAGAGATACTACTGAAGTATGAATTTTTAAAAATTTGTTTGTCTTTTTAATTTCTGCCTGCGTTATTAAATTGAAATTTATGTTTGAAGGGAATGATGAGACATATGTGCAATCCCATATAAGTGATTTACCGAGGGCCTAATGTATGATTGCCATACCATCAGGTTTTAAGCCATTTTACTTGAGATAAGATGATGGTTCAAGATTGTTCTGAATGTGGGCTGTTATTTTTCAATTTATTATATGGTTTACTGCTGTGTGGCGTTGGTGTCGCCCAGTGGCGTAGCTAGAAATTTTTCTTAGAGGGGGTCCAAACATATAAAAGTCTGGGAGTCCCCCAGACCTACTTTAACGGGCCTTCGGCTCTTTTGTCCGGCCTTCGGCCCTTTTGCCCGGCCTTCGGACGGGTTATCTTACATAACCATATCTTTGATAATATATAATAAATATATTTTTTAAATGCATCAATAATATGTTATTATGAGTAGATTATTCACAATGACTTTATATAATACTACCCAGAATAATTTCAATAGTAATATAATATCCTTTCACAAACATCAAAACCAAAAAATATAAATATTAATGGTATTTATTTGATATAAAGTCACTTTTAAGTCTTTTAAACGTATAATCTAAAAAAAAATTTAGCTCTGGCAAGGGTCCAAACCCGAAAACCACCCCCGTAACTACGCCACTGGTGTCGCCCTTGATTAAATATATAATTAAGAAATATTTGGGAAGGGTATAAATAAATCCAGTATTACTTCCAATATTTTTCCTTAAAGAATAGGCTGATCTTAAGAATCCGAAAAATATTTATACGAAAATTTTCTGCTGATTATGATTTTTAACATGAGATAAAACCATATGGTCTAATTTCATTGTCTCAAACACTCCATGAACCTCCTCATATTTCATAAAAGAGTTGTATATTACCACCTTCCGAAATTTCGGTTTCTGACCAATACGCTTTCTAAAAAATGATATAACAGCAGATATGATAAGACTCGCAATTAGCCTTTTAACTATAAAATTTTATGCCTTATCCTTATAAAGACGCTTAAATCGGTGTTGCTATTTAAAGTAGGTTTTGCTT